TAGAATAGACTCTCTTGAATAGAGTCTAATTCTATTGGCTTTCAAAAGCCAATAGGAATTGTCCAGGCTGTCTCTGCCCTGCTGAGCCCGCCAAAAGTCCCAGTCGGCAAACGTTGCTGCAAGTTGTCTGCAGCTAAGGCGAGCTTTCTGGAAGTTTCCAACCCTCCCTGCTGAGCAACTATTAAATGTAAGTAAAAGAGGGCCAGGGGTGGGAGGGCCGCCCAGGAGCGCCTGGGCCTGCCTGCCACCGCACCGAACAGGCGGTGGCCAAGGTAAGACTAGCGGGGCAGCGGTGGGTGCTGGGAGGGTAGCTGGCGCGCGGGGGGCCCGGCCTTCCCCCCGTGTTTTCTGCTCCACCCCAAATTCGCCTCCCTTCCACTCTCCTTACGGCTTACGCAGCCATCTATGGCCTTAATCTCGCTTTCAACACCCCCTAAAATTCTTCATTCAGGCAGGCTTCCAGAATTCGGCTGGCAGGATGCAGGTAACCCCTCCCCCTGTCCTGCCGCCTCCCATGGTGCCGCGCCGCTCCGCGTCCCATGCCTCCGTGTCTCAAGCCTCCGTGGCACAGAACTGCTGGCGTTCTCTCTCCCTCTCAAAGATCCTTAAAAGTTATGCTTGGGTGGAAGACTTTTTCTTTTACAGATGGGGCGGGTGAGCCCGACATTCGCGGGCAGGCAGGACCCCGCCCACCGAGCCGCCACCTCCCCTTCGCCCTCCACGCCAGCCGGCTCCGTCACCAGACCTCCCAGCTGACGGGCGCAGGAGTTCGGCGCTGCGGCGGCTCCCCTTCGCCCTCCACACCGGCCAAAGCGTCAGCTGGTGACCCCCGGACCTGCGCCCGTCAGATGGGAGGTCCGGCGATGGAGCCGGCTGGCGTGGAAGGCGGTGGGGAGGTGACGGTTCAGCGGGCGTGGTCCTGCCTGCCCGCGAATGTCAGGCCCACCCACCCCATCTGTAAAAGAAAAAGTCTTCCACCCAAGTATAACTTTTAAGGATTTGAGAGGGAGAGATTTTAAGGATCTTTGAGAGGGAGAGAGAAATAGAGAGAGGGAGAGAAAAAGAGGAAAGAGAAAGAGAGAGAGGAAAGAGAGAAACGGGAGAGGAAAGAGAAAAAGAGGAAAGAGGGAAAGAGAGAGGAAAGAGGGAGAGAGCGAGGAAAGAGAAGAGAGAGGAAAGAGAAGAGAGAGGAAAGAGAAAGAGAGGAAAGATAATTTGGGGGTCGACCAGAAGGGAACCGGGTCTGATAAGGATGAAAGTTGTTCCCCCTCGCCCCTCTCTCCGCCTCCCTTTGTGCAGCGGCGTCTCTGGCTGCTGCCTTCCCAGTCGCCGAGAAAGGGGGAAAAAAGAGCTGTGAGTTCCCCTTTCTGCCTCGTTGCTGAAAGCTTTTTTTTTTTTAAACGACCGCTCGTTCAGAACTCCTCGGGACTTGTTTGCACGAGCTTGTGGCAGATCAATAAATAAAGGGGTGGGGGAGTCAAACCGTCCAAGGCATTTGCACCCTGAAGGTGTGGACGCTGCTTTCATGACTTGCCACCACCACCTCCTCTCTTCCCGCCCTGCTCGGGCAACGCGCTGCTGCTGCTGCTGGCTGAGCTGCGGCGCCGAGCCGATCCCCACGCCTCCTGGTTGCCCGGCCGCGG